TGTATGTGTTTTTAAGGAAGTATGATATTTAATTGAAAAGAAGTGTTAAAGATGTTAAGATTTTAATGATTATTAATGATAGAACTGAACTGGAATGGAATGAGGGTTTATAATTACATATATTTACAATCTTTTTTTTTAAAAGAACATAGTGTATATTATAAGAATGTACCAAGCAGAATTCGATTGGAAGTTATGTATTATGTATTATATTGAAGGTTATAACCTTAAGGTATATATTGAAGTTTAAATAAGAGTTGAATGTATGTAATTAAAAAATATAAAGGTGTCATACTCCAATTAGTAACTATAAGAGAAAATTTGTTTAATGAGAAAAGATAATATGAAATTGAAACAGAACAGACAAAAGTATAAATATAATGATTTGAACTGAGATGAGATAATCAAAAGAAAATTGAGAAAATTAAAAGAGGGGAAAAACTATATAGAAAATGTAAAATAGTATAAGATATGGAATAGAATACAAAAAGAAGCATGAAATTGAGTTTTGTGTCTGAAAAAGAAGTTCAACCCCGGACTATGCTATTTTCAAAAAAGATGTTTTACTTGTATTTTGTATGTATGAAAACCCAAATAAAACTTTATTTTTAAAAAAAGAAGATAAAGGCCAGCTGTGAAATTAACCTTCTTTGCAGAAGGCAAAGAAATTTTGAACTCAACCTCATGGACCTTACAGTTGGTATTTGAAGACTCTTGTGTTGTAAGCTATTTCTTATCCGTTGTTTTTTGGCAGCCTTGCAAAACCTTGGCAAGGCTCTTTCTTGTTGAAGATAATTAGTTGGAAGCAGCCTTTTATCTGTAAAGAAATAGGGTTCTTAGCTGAAACTTAAACAGATTATACTGCTGCCTTTGTCTTGTGTTTGCTTTCTTGGAATCAGGTTTGGGTAGAACACCTTCTGACAAGCAAGGTCAATGGGGAAGCCAGCTTCACTAAACAACCTTATTCCTAACATAACAACTTCAGGGATTCATTTAACAAACCTGGCAAGAAAGTTCGTAAAATGGGGCAAAAACTCACGTAACAAATGTCTCACTTAACCACATATATTTTGGGTTCAGTTGTAGTCATAAGTTGAGAGTTGAGAACGATGTGTAGGCAAGGCCATAAATTTACAGCAGGAGTGTCAAACTTAAGGTCCCTGGGGCTGGCCTGGAAATATCAAAGGACCGGTCTGTGGTGCCAAAATGGGGTGCGGGAGGACCACATGTTGCCCCTGTGTGGCCCATTTTTGGCCTCCCCGGCCTCCAGCAGCACTCTATTGGCCAAAAACGGGTCCTGCACCCTATTTTGTCCAGCAGGTTAATACAGAAGGCATCCATCCCATCTCCCCCCTGCTCTACCCCAGCCTGCAGAGAACTAAAATGATGATCTGGCCCTCAGAGAAATCCAGTTTGACACCCCCTGATCTGCAGTATTTATGCCTGCATGAAATGGAAAGAAATGTTTTGACCTATGTTCTACCTACACTTTGGTGGAACACAATTTTATACATGATTGGAGTGTTTGCATAAGAAAAAAAAAACAAACAGGAAGCTTATATTTTGTGTTCCAGGTCCGCAAAAATTACTTAGCATCCCACATTGAGGGCTTTTTACTCATTGGGCAATCTGTCTAAAAAAAGGAAGCAAGCTTTCCCCTAGCAAAGGTAGAATAAACATATCAGATCAGCAGATGCCCTTTTTCTTACATTCAGAACAGTTATTTCCAGTTTTGAAATGTGCTTAACGGAGTCGTCTTCTTTCTATCCTATACGACTAGTGTTACACAATGACAGGAGTCAAGGAACCTTTTCTTTCATAACATGTTTATTGTTAGCATGTTATAAGAAAAAAATACTTGTCAGGTGAGGTCAGTGTAAGATAGATAAACACGAGAATAGCTTCTTTAAGTTTGCATAATACCTGCGGTTGTCTAATTGATGAAAATAATGTTGAGGTCGTACTATATGCATACAGAGCACTAGTGTTAAACTATACCAGTGTTTCAAACTAATCCGTGTTTTGGCTAGCCGGTATTTTAGGCTAATCCATGTTTTGGCTAATATTGTATGTGGACCAAAACCAAAGAAATCCCATAAAGCATTTCAGAGCTATAGAGTAGGGGTGTCAAACTGGATTTCTTTGAGGGCTGGATCAGCATTGTAGTTCTCCTCCGTGGGGCTGGGTATGGGGGAGGGGCGGACAGGACGGACACTTCCTTCAGCACTCTGCTGCCCAAAACAGGGCATAGGTGTATGTGTGTGTGTGTGTGTGTGGCTTCTGCACAGCCTGTTTTGAACAGCAAAGGATAACAGGAGGCCATCCAGACTGACCAAAAACAGACGATGTGGGGGCCGCATGTACTCCCCCTGCCCTCCATTTTGGTTGCCGGAGACACTGTGGGGAGGTCCTTTGCTATTTCCAGGCCGACCCCGTGGGCCAGAATTCAGCACCTCATGGGCTGGATCCAGCCCGCGGGCCTTGAGTTTGACACCCCTGCTGTGGAAACAGTTACCAGAACTCTCTTCCAAGTTCTCTAACTTCTCCTAACTTCCTAATAGAAAGAGGGAAGTATGGTTGCACCCTTCCCACAGTGATATTTCCAGATCTAAAATTAAAAATTCTTTCTGGTTTTAGGCAGTGCTAGCTGAGTCATGGTAGAAAGATTTACGTAGTGCAGAAAGAACAACAATCTCTTTAACTTGAATAACTGTTTTTATTTAGGGGTCAGCAAAGGCTTCGATCTTTGCAGCAAGTCAAGAATGCATTTCTGATCGTTGGTATCTTTTTTTGAAACTTTTGTAGAAAGTATTTGTTAAATTGCAGACTCAACCACTTAAACCAGGGGTCTTCAAACTTGGCAGCTTTAAGACTTGTGAACTTCAACTCCCAGAATTCTTCCTCCAGTCATGTTAGCTCAGGAATTCTGGGAGTTTAAGTCCACAAGTCTTAAACTTGCCAAGTTTGAAGACCCTTGACTTAGACAAAGCCAATATCAATGTCTAGGTCTCCCCCAAATCACTTTATTCTAATGCAGGGGTGTCAAACTCATGGCCTGCGGGCCAGACATGTCATGTGCTGGCCAAGCCCTTTGCTAAAGCAGGGGGAAATTAGCAATATGTCACGTGATGACAATGTGATGCCACGAGTTTGACACCCCTGTTCTAATGTCACTAACTATATAAATAGCAAAGTGGAAAAAACTGTATTCATTATGATTGCCTAATAATAATTAGTTGCCAGCAAATCTCACATTTTAATTATTTTAATTGAAAAAAATGGAAACGTAGTTTACAGGTTATATGACCATTTTTCACATGACTTTTATAACAACCCCATGATCATGCGATCAAAATTCAGAGGCTTGGCAACTGGTTCATACTTATGACCATTGCTGTGTCCCTAGGTCAGTGATCTAATCTAATCTTTTTGTTGTCGTGTGCTGAAAGTGCGCACGTACGCCTGCACCCATAATGCAATTCACACATGACCCCCTGCGCTCCCCCTGCGCATGCAACCCTCCTGTGCTCCCCCCAACATGTGTATGCTCCCCATGTTCCTCCCGCTTTCTGTACATACGTGTGCGACCCTCCCGTGCTCTTGCCCCCTCTGCGCATGTGCGTACATCTCCCACAAGCACCTCGCCCCCCCACGCATGCACGGCAGATACCCAAAAAAGTTTGCTAGCAAGCAAACTCACAAAATTAACTCACAACGCACCATGTATGTAAATACTGAATTTTTTATTTAAAAAGAGCAATTTTTACCCCAAATCAGGCAAAACAGGCAGGCAGATTGAGTTGCTCACAAAATCATTCAGTGATCTATCTATCTGCCATCAGCTAGCTCAGTCTCTCAAATTTGCTTGCCGTGAGTCTGCATTGAATAATAGAACCTCCAGTCCTAATAGAGGTTCGGCTATGCTTAAAAGCAGAGCCTAAGATCTAAAGACTTGCTAGAAAGCAAGAAATCCAACCATTTCCTGCTTCCTAGCTAATCTAAATCTCCCAGCACAGCAGAACAGGGTCAGAAAAAGGAAAAAATGGCAATTAGAAGGCAAGTTTGCTGGGTAAGGAGTGAGTAGGCGGGGAGGCAGCCTTGTGTTTCTGCGCAGCCTGGATTAATTGCTTTGGGGGGGTTGCTCTGGGGATGAGATTTCTGTGCAGCCCATCAAAATTTTCTCATGGCCCACTGGTTGGCGGCTGCAGGTCTAGACGCTCTCAGAATTGGATTGGGGGGAAAAAAGGTGGTCACTCAACCCAAATAAGACAGAATGATTGTTGATTCAGAAGTCACCTTTGATTCTTCGCAGAATTCTGCTTTCCTAGAAAGAACAGGCTGACTGTCCAGCTGTTCGTTGGAGCTAAACTGAGGTAAAAAGATCCACTTCAGGCAATACCATTATTGTTAGCAGAGTATTGAAACAGGATCCTGAAAAAACTGTCAAAAGGGTTTACCCATTCAACTGACACTTGATTATTGTAGCAAGGAATTGTTTTAGGTCTCTCTTGCTTGCTTCCCCCTCATATGGGCAAAAGTGTCGCTTTGGCAAATGGCACCATCTCTTTCCAGGGTTTGTTCCACATTTCAGAACATCTCCAATTCAGGAGTCTTGGACTCATAGCTCCTTTGGGAGTAGATTGAGACTGTGGCCTGGAAAACGTTTGGACAGCTTTGGTTGGTGTTGGCTTTTTGGTTGGTGTTTAGTTGAGGTCTTACTTGCAACAGAACGCACACAGTATTCACTAATTGCTCATTCCATTGTCACCTTTAGCAACAGTGTCACTTGCTGTATATGGGGCTGCCCTTAAAGACTGTTCAAAACTTCAGCTAGTTTAGAGCACATACTCCGTGATCAGTCATAATAATTGCTATGTTCCATCTCTACTACAATAGGTTTCTAAGTGCTCCTTGTGATGTGTACAATAAAATGGAGGGGTTGAGTTTATATTTTTTTAAAAAACATTATTTTTAATTTATTCCTGTTTTTTCCTGAATAGGATCAAAGGGATCTTTCAGAAAGAAGCAAAGATGAATATGGTAAAAAGGATAATGGGTCGACCTCGGCAAGAGGAATGCAGCCCTCAGGATAACGCTCTAGGATTAATGCATCTTCGCAGGCTGTTTACAGAATTGTGTCACCCCCCTCGGCATATGACTCAAAAGGAACAGGAAGAGAAGCTTTACATGATGCTACCAGTTTTTAACAGGGTAAGGCTTTTTTGAGTATGTTTTTTAGGCATGTGATGAAACATTGCAAGTTTTAAATTTCCAGCATTGCACGTTGTCAATTTCCTCTGAGCAGCCCACCTGTAATGGAAGTGGATTCCCACAGATCACTTGTAAGGCAAAAATAAATGTTTCTCAGACATTGATAGGTACACTGAAATGCTACACATACATTCTATCACCTCTCCCTCTCCCTCTCTCCCTCCTTCCCTCTCTCTCCCTCCCTCCCTATCCATCAATCTTTATCCATCCATCCACCCACCTAGTTTTCTCTCTCTCTCTCTCTCTCTCTCTCCTGAATAGGACATAAATTACTCTCTGACTCTATTTCCCTTTTTTCCATTTTCTCTTATGAAAATGAACTTCAAAGTACTAATGTGAAAACAATTATCTGTGAATGTCTATGGAGATTCTCAGTCATCTAGGTCATGGCAACTGGACTTGTTTTTTCTTTGAAGACGTTTCTCTTCTCATCCAAGAAGCGAAACGTCTTTCAAAAAACCCGAAGTCCAGTTGCCTCTTGAAAACATTTTTGGAACAATTTTCTGTGAAATGAGCTTAAATTTGTATTGGTTGTGAACCACTTTAGTGTGTTCAGATAGCTTTCTCCTTGTCTACAAGAATTGGAAAAAACATAAGAAGAAATGGAAAATGGATATTGACAGAGTGAAATACAGGATGAGTAATGGATATTGTGGATGATTAATAACAAAATTTCCTGCAAATCAAATCAAAATAAACATAAAATTCACCTTACATTTTCATTTTTTAAAAATAATTTTTAATAACCGTTGAATTCAGTCTTATTCACAAATTTAACTGTTTACAGTAAACCTTTGTAGCTCCTGAGTAAAGGGCAGGATATAAATCAAATAAATAGATAAAACTTGTTGCTTTTTCAGTAGTGTTTTGAGGGATCCTTGGTCCTTCTTTATTAAGTAGTGTTTTTCATCATTTTTAATATTTAGCATAAGTGAGTACATACATGCTCATCATTCTGTTTCTTTTTAGAATAAACAACATTATGCAAATAAGAACTGGTAAAGCAAATAAACTGGAGGTAATAGTAAAGAAAGGAAATAGAAAGGAAATCCAGTTAAGTCTAGTTTACACCAACACTTTTCAATATGAATGCTTTTATTATGTCCAGATAAAATATTACAATTAATGGTGGGTTGTCAGTATATAATCAAAGTCTACCTAATTGTATAGTCAGTGTAACAAAATTAAATATAACTTCCTATTTTGCCTCGGCAAATATTCTTGCTTCTTTTACATCCTCATGTTAATTCACACAATGTTTGATCTTTAAATAGCTTACAGTTCTGTGAATTTCTGAGTCTTCCCCTCTCTTACATGCATTCTTCCTTCAAATATTTGTTTCGCAATTTGGAGTGTCATATTCATATTACCAAATAACAGGAACGTACATCTTTTATGGTGTTTACTTGTTTATATTCAATTCATATTCCTTCAGCTCCTGTTTGTTTTTGACCTTACCTCCTCTTCATTTAGCAAGTGTACTTCATTGCCACACTATTCAATTTAGAGTTTTTTTTCTTTCCCTCTCATAAAACTCTCACTTCTATATCAAGTAGCTATATAAAAGCATGTGCTTCTCCCACAGACCATACGCTGCCATTATTATTTTTTCTACCAGTTCTCCATCTGTTTTCTGATTTTTAGTAAGCGTTCAACAAATTGTGCCCATTATTTATTTTATTTATTAGATTTTTATCCCTCTTTTATTAGCCTCATAATAACTCAAAAATATTAATGCTCCTTCCATCTCCTGTTTTCCTCTCAATAACCCTGTGAGGTCGGTTGGGCTCAGAGAGAGTGACTGGCTCATGGTCACCCAACTGGTTTTCATGCCTAAGGCAAGACTAGAACTTATAAATCTCTTGACTTCTAGACTGGTGCCTTACTAGACCAAACTGGCATATACCATGCTTCTCTAAAAACAGGACTCAACTCAATAATAAGCCTAACCCCAATTTTGGGGGAGTGGGCCTAATATTACGTCTCCCCTGAAAATAAACCCCGGGGGGATGGGTATGGTCAGCATAGATAACAGATAATCAGAGTTCGAAGGGACCTTGTAGGTCATCTAGTCCAACCCCCTGCCCAAGCGGGAGACCCTACACCATTTCTGACAAATGGCAGTCCAGTCTCTTCTTGAAAGTCTCAAGTGAGTGAGACTTTTTACGAGTTGGTGCAGGGGGGACAACTGTCCAGCTACAGCTCGCTGGCCCCTTGGGGCCGCGCAAATACTGCTTTTGCCCTTCCCTTTCTGGGCGCAGCGCTTCTGCTTGTTGGGCCGCTTCCCCGAAGCCAGCATCTCCGCGGCCAGCTGCTTTGCATTTTCCCTCTTTTTGGGAGGCCCGCAGGAGGCTTTTTGGCAAAAGGGAGGAAAATGGGGAGGGGGGATTTTCCTGCCTGTCATCTATTCCTCAAGCTCGGCACAGACTGAGGGAAGGATGGTAGGCAGGAAAATTCCCCCTTCCCATTTTCCTTCCGTTCTCCAAAAAGCCTCCATTCCAAACACTGAAGGTTCGGAATGGAGGCGACGGTGCTTCCACAACGCGTCCAGCTCACCAAGTCTGGCCTGTTGTACCTCAAGAAAAGTAAGACAGCCTCGAAAATAAGCCTAAGTGCTTATTTTCAAGTTCAAAGAAAATAAGACTCAATCTTATTTTCTAAGAAGCACAGTATGGGATGAACTGCGTTTTCATAGTTTATTCATAGAATTCTTTATAGAGATGTTTCTTGCTCATCTTATTCTCAAATATTTCCTTGATTTCATTCAGTTGTTATGAGGCAAAATGATTTAAATCAGGTTTTACATCTCTGTGGAAACAAGGTGGCATAACTAATGAATGTTCGGTTTTATTTTTTTATTTACCTCAAAACTCATTTAACGGGAGTAATAGATATCTGATTGTAATAATCAGGAGCATATGCTACATTTTGGATTACATAACCCATGCCACTCATTCAGCGCAGATTTCTCTCTGCTTAGAAAAGCAAGTACTATGTGCAATTCTGATGCACCCTTTGGCTTTCTGCTAATGGTTATATAAAGGCACCAAGCATACTCTTTAAAAATTAATGGCTGAGCTCCATGAAAGCACTGATTGATAAATAACTAAAAAATGTCTTGGCTATACAAGAACATATATCTGTATTAATCTTATGCAGACTGTAATTTCCCCCAAAATCAAATAAGTGGATTTCACCATCTCAAGCAGTGCATAATTTTTGTCCCTGGTTAGTGTTTTATCTTCTGTTCTGTTCCACAAAGAAAAGACAAAGCTGGCTTGCAGTCCCAATAGGTGGAATATAATACATAAGATCCACTAACAGTTGTGATGTTGTTTCCTCTTTGTGGGATCAGTGGGAATTTTGCCTGGCGCCCACACTCTATTTGTACAGAATGCATGCTCCTCCATTTTTAGAGATAAAATCATCGAAGATAATATAGCCTCAACTTAAGTTATGGGGCATTAGATTGGGGCAGAATTGGCCTCAGATTCCTTTCAAGCATTCTCTCTGTTGAAGCTGGATTTTAGTGCTGTGTCCTACGTAGAACGTTCCCCCAAATTTATGAAAACTTTCTGTGGCAATAGCTGTCTCCTTTCATATTCCCCACCGTATTTGTTTTTGCTCTTTTGTCAAGAAGCGGGGAAAAGTATGAAAATGGTCATAAGCCACTTTTTTCAGTGCCTTGTAACTTTGAACAGTCACTAAACAAATGATTGTAAATCAAGGACTACCTGTTGTGTCCCAAGGTTGGCATGCAAGCAACAAGCGGTAGATGAAAGCATGTCAGCTTTTATTCAACCATTATCCCCCAAATCCCCACAATCTAGCAATTCCCGGTCCATTCCCCAAAGTCCCTGCCCACAGGGCACACCTACAGTCCAAGAGCAAGGCTCGAACCCACGCCCCTTCACATGTTTCGTGCAACTTCCTGGCAATGGAAGTTCACCGACATCAAGGCAAAAGATCAAACCTCAGTCAGCAAAAGCAAGGATTCTGAAATACAAAATATAATACTTGTTCTCAACAAAAGCCCTTCCCCACGGCACCTCCTTAAATGCTACACTCCAGGTGATCCTCATGAGGAGGGACGGGGCGCCCTCCTCCCGAGTAGTCGGGTCATCCTGCGCTGACTCTGCCTCCTCTCCATTCTCCGCACTTAGGGATCGGGTGGGAGAAGCATTTGCTCATCTCTGGCGCTCCGATGCTCCTCTGCTGTGCTGCCTACCCTTTCCACCTCCTCCCTCGCTTCCTCAGTCCGCCTGCACCCTCTCTTCCTCCCTGCCTGCTCTCCCAAGGCCTGAGGGGCCTGGGACTGCCTCAGCCTCATTCCCAGGTCATTCCTCAGGGGCCACAGGGACTGCGCCCACACCCTCCAGCTCCATATCCTCTGCCTCTTCAGACCTGGGCTATGAAGGGGCCATGACACTACCGGCATTCTTTTTTGCAAGGGTTAGGGTAGAACAAAGTTGGAGCCCAACAAGGTTGAAAGTTGATACATGGGAAATCATTGTCCTGGGGTGCCAAGAGTTTTGATTGGTAGAGGGTCCCCCCCCCCAATTAATTGTTGTTGAAATGCCCAGGGTTTTCAGGTCATGGCTATATAAGTCAAATAAATAAATGAAGACATCTTAATCTTCATGGAGAAAAATTCTTTTGGCTCTTAGTTATGGAATTAACATCAGTGGTACACTTTTTCTCAAAAATAGGGGATCTAAGGATTGGGAGTAATAATATAAATCATGTCTAAGGCCACCTTTGCTGAGGAAAGTAGGAAAAAGAACAAGAAAGCCTTAATTGTTACACAGAAATAATAGCAAAAAGGTTGCCAAAAAACTCTTCTCTCTTTGTTTATTTACGATTCTCAGATTTCTCAACCTTTAACCCAAAACAATATTTAGAACTGGCTTAGAGGAAAGCTTTTATACATGTGGCTATTTTTCATTTCGTCATTATTTATTTAATAATTCATTCGAATTTCAAGGTCACCGACTGTCTGACAACCGTCTGATCTTAAAATTAAAAAGGACAAAAAAAAACATATAAAACCGTGACCAGAACACAGTGACCAGAAGAGGTTATGATCTATAATAAAAGAACAAAGCTCTAATTTTGTGTATTAACGTTTAAGGATTATATGTGTGACTATATTGGAACATAAGCAAAAGAATCTTTCATTAGCAATAGTGCAGAGATTTATGTATCACTTCATAATGCTTTACAGCTCTCTCGAAGCAGTTTGCAGAGTCAGTGTATTGCCCCCAACAATCTGGGTCCTCATTTTAATTGAAAATTAAAGGGTGGGTGGAAGTCTGAGTCAAGCTTGAGTCAGTCAGGATCAAACTCCTGGCAGTGAGCAGAGTCAGCCTGCAATGCTGCACTCTAACCACTGCGCCACCACAGGTCATTAATTGAAATTTTTCAATAATAGTGCTAAAACCATGTTGTTAAACTGTACATTTTCCTATTTGTGTCATGTTAATTTGAACTTCGATTTATGCATGTTACTTAGTCCTTTTTCACCTCTCTGCAGGTATTTGGAAATGCTCCTCCAAGTACAATGATAGAAAAGTTTTCAGATCTCCTTCAGTTCACAACACAAGTTTCACGATTAATGGTAACTGAAATTCGTCGGAGAGCTTCTAATAAGTCCACAGGTAAATGCTTGAATTTCTACTGTTATTACTCATTTTCTGTAGGTAAACTACAGCAGATACTAGCCTAAATAGTCCTTAATACACCAAAAGTTAAGCGCAGTGAGAACTGGTTAACAGCTGGATGGGAGACAACTGAGAAAGTCCAGGTATATAGTGTAGACTGGCAAGCTTATTTTTTTTTAAATTGTTATCAAGAAAAATGTGTGGAGATGACCAAATAAACCCACGTATTTTTTCCATTGAAAAAGAAGAACATCCCTTCAGGCAAGACACGAAGGCAACAGTCAGCTGATATTTCAAAACACCCCTTTATTGCTCCAACTTTCCCCCAAACGCTCCCACATTTCTGGCAATTCCTGGAGCAAGGCGAAAATTGACCCCAAAATTTCTGTTGCTAACTGAGACCTTTGTTAAGTGAGCTTTGCCCCATTTTGCTACCTTTCTTGCCACTGTTGTTAAGTGAATCACTGCAGTCGATAAGTTAGTCACACAGTTGTAAAGTGAATCTGGCTTCTCCGTTGACTTTACTAGTCGGAAGGTTGCAAAAGTGGATCACATGACCTTGGGACAAGGCAACGGTCATAAGCGTGAACCAGCTGGCAAGCATCTGAGTTTTGATCACATGATACTGGGGATGTTGCAAAGGTTGTAACTGTGAAAAACGGTCATAACTCACTTTTTTCAGTGCCATTGTAACTGAATGGTCACTAAATGAACTGTTGTAAGTCGAGGACTACCTGTACTATTGTTCCTTCCTTAACAATCACAGTTGAGACCAGCAAGTCCATCACAAACCACACAATAATTAAATGACGCATCACATGACCACTTAGTTTGATCCTAAGTAGAGACAAATACTTTTCTCTCTGGCCACAATGAGAATATATCTGCTGAACAAAACTCCGCATTGGTGACAGGAAGGGCATCCAGCCAGTAAACACTCAGGTCCATTCAGTTGCCCAGACTCCACCCCGCAAGGAATTATGGGCTCGTTCAAAGAAGATGATGATCATGTGACCATCACATGGGATTTTACTGCTGGCGTTTTGATTTTCCTACGCTAGTTGTGTACTGTGCAAGTGATGATCACATAACCGCAGGATACTGCAATTGTTGTAAATGTTCTGTGGTTGGGAAGTGCCCGAATCTTGATCATGCAACCGTGGAGATGCTGTGACAGTCATCAGTGTGAGGACTGATCATAAAATTACTTTTTCGGCACCATTATAGCTTGGATTGCTAAACAGGGCAGTCACGAAGTAAGGACTACAGTCAGTGCATTGTACGCAAAAGTGAGGAATTTTGACACCTTAAAATAAATTGAGTTAGATGGATTGTGTGTTGATTTTTCTTCTTTTTCTCCTCTGCGTTTTAGAAGCTGCAAGTCGTGCCATAGTCCAGTTTCTAGAAATCAATCAGAGCGAAGAAGCCAGTAGAGGTTGGATGTTGCTTACTACAATTAACCTGTTAGCTTCATCTGGACAGGTGAGTTCTTAATGAACAGCAAGTGATATCTGGCAATAAATCTTTGAAGTGTCCTATTTCTTAACTCCTGAATGCCTCACTTTTATATTGTAAAGTTACCAGAACTGCCTCATTTGGATGAACATAGATATAAATGCAAATTTGGGGATTGGAAGATGGGGTGATTCAAATAACTCTACCTTATATGAAGTGTCTGGAAAAGTGTCATTTTTACAATATAATTGTGAATTAAACCATTATACAATAAATGCATAGTTTTAAAAAAGGGTGAATTATACACTACAACCACTTAATTTTTTATATAATGCAGGTAATCCTCAACTTACAACAGCAATTGAAACCAGAATTGCCATCGCTATGTGATGGCGTTGTAGAGTGCAATTGAATCGTCTAGCAGTGGCAATCCATCTGTCCTGGTTGCCATCATTAACTGAGTTTATCAGTTGTTAGACAGGGCAACTTCCTGACAGCTTCCCACAATCAGGATCATTGGGGAAGCAATCAGGAAATTGCCACTCCCAAGCCAGCAGGCAGGTATATGGCTGTTGCTGGATTAGGGAGAGAGAGAGGGGGTTGCAGGAAAAGTGCAGTGAGGATTGGGAAGGGGGCGCAAGGTGTGTGTGAGACATGCAATATGAGGGTTGGGGAAAAGATACAGGTTGCAGAATGCGCACGAACGGCTGGTGCATTGCTAGCATAAAGCAGTTGGCAAAGGTTGCACAGGTAGGTGAGGTTTTCCCTAGCAACTTGCTGTCTTTTCTGGCAGCTTCCCCTTGTCTTTTTGGGGAAGCCAGGAGGAAAATTTGCAAATGACAATTGCAGGATTGTGGGCACTGCCACTTACCATAAATGCAAACTGGTTACCAGTGTGCCCTGATTGTGATCACATGACCATAGGGGAACTGGAACTGCCAGAACTCCGAGGACAAGTTGTAACCACTTGCAAAAAAACATTGAAAATCACAGTTACGCAACTGCAGGATACTGCAAATAACCATAAAGGTCAACTGGTTGCCAAGCGCCCCAGATGCGATCAGGCGACCATGGAGGGTGCAGACATTGTAACTTCAAAATTGTGTCGTAAGTAGCTTTAGGAGGGGTCCAACGTAACTTTAAGCAATTGGTCATAAGTCAAGGATTGCCTATAGTTGAGATAAATTAAGCTTGTAGTTTACCCAACCTACACACAGGTTGTGAATGTTTATCTTTCTACATAATTAGAATGTTTTTGTTTTTGTTTGCAAACATGCAAAAGAGCAGATGAAGAAGAAATTGCATGTGAGGCTGACTTAAAAGTGTTCTTTGCTGTTTTCTCCCCAGAAAACCGTGGACTGCATGACAACTATGTCAGTGCCTTCCACACTTGTGAAATGTCTCTATCTGTTTTTTGACCTTCCACATGTGCCTGAGGTGGCTGGCGGAGCCCAGAATGAATTGCCTCTAGCAGAGCGAAGGGCGCTGTTGCAGAAAGTATTTGTGCAGGTAAAGTGCATGGTAGCGACAATACATTTGAAACAAAATTTCTTTACAAAGAAATTGGTTTGCAGGATGGCGGCTGTTTAGAATATTTTCAGGGCTGTAGGCAGTGCGTGTTAAAATGAAAAACCAGCTTGGGTCAGATAACCATAGAGACTATCTGCGTGATCACTAAGAATTGACACTGACTTGATAGCACGCAAACAGTCAAAGTGTGTGTGTGTGTGTGTGTGTGTGTAAAATTCCTTTCTGACCTCTAAGGATAGTACATGTCTTCTTCAATTTCAAAGGCCTAAGAATTTAAAGGTTCTTCACTGTGTACGTGTGTGTGCACGTGCATGTACACACACACACACACACACACACACACACACAAGCAAACTGGTTATTGAGAATAGAAATGCCACTAAGAATACTGTCATGCCCAATAGGAATAGGGAGTGTGGCTCCATTGGCTGTGGAGGAGGCTGGGGAAGGGCAAAGTCCGGCTGGGCAGAGCAGGGGCGTGAGGGAAAGGGAGTTCAGAAGAAGAACCAGGACCATCCTCTCTTCACGCCAGGGCACACAAGGAGGAATGGAGAAGAGAGCAACGTGGGTTGCATGGCTTACAGGGAAAGAAAGGGCCCTGATTCCCTTCATTAGCCACAGCTGGGAAGACAGTTGATAAGAAAGGCAGGCTGCTGGGAGCAAAGGTGACTTTATCCTGTGTTGTTGTGGCTTATCTGTGTTCCTGGCGTCTTCCCAACTGTTTTGCTGAGTTTTGCCGTGCCTTCAAGTCTGAAATTCTTGCTCCTGCCCTGCCAAACTAATTACTTCAGTTTGGCTTCCTTGGACTTTTAGTTACAGTTTGTGTTGCTCATGTTTTGGACTTAATTTTCTGCAGTCAAAGGCTGTTCCTGAGAGAGTTTTTCTCTAGCCAGAAGGTAACCAGGACATTGGGGGCAAAGTTGGAGATAATAAAGGGACTCTTATCGTTTATCTGACTGTGTTGCCTTTGTGCCATGTCCCTGGTCATCACAAATACAGTGGCATATGAGTGCTGTTTTATAATAAGCTAAAGGGGGCTACATCATTTTGTTTAATAACTAAGTTGCTCCAAGGAATTGTTCACAGCTGCCCATTTTGTACGCAGTTTATTTACTTATTAAATTGACAAATCTCACAATCTGGTTAACCTGGGCAGTTTACAACAGCATAAAAACAAGGATAAGCATTTTAAAACATTAAAAAAAAAACCATTTAAATGAATGGGTAAATTAGAAACCAGAAGATGAATGGGTTGGGAACGGAATGTTCTTTAAATGGTAATAAATACTTACAAATAGTAATCAGTGAAGAAAACCTGTTAAGTGAATTGAGTATGTCTGCTTTAATGGAAAGAAGGACTAGGGGTGACATGAAAACCGTGCTCTGATATCTGAGGGGCTGCCACAAAGAAGAGGAAGTCAAGCTATTTTCAAAAGCACTTGAGGTCAGAACGAGGAGCAATGGATGGAAACTAATCAAGGAGAGAAGCAACCGAGAACTAAGGAGAAATTTCCTGACTGGACAATTAACCAGGGGAACAGCTTTGCCTTCAGATGCTATGGGTGCGCCATCACTGGAGGCTTCCAAGAAGAGACTAGACAGCCACTTGTCTGAAATGGTATCGGATCTCCTGCTTGAGCAGTGCGTTGGAGTAGAAGACCTTCAAGGTCCCTTCCAGCTCTGTCTTTCTTTTACTTGTATGGCTCCTGAGCCTTTTTCAAGGGCGTTTTGTTGCCTTGTCTTTCAGATCTTAGTGAAGCTGTGCAGTTTTGTGTCCCCAGCAGAAGAGCTGGCCCAAAAGGATGACCTCCAGCTTCTTTTCAGTGCAATAACCTCGTGGTGCCCTCCCTACAACCTGCCTTGGAGGAAGAGTGCAGGGGAAGTCCTGATGACTATATCACGTCACGGCCTTAGCGTCAACGTAGTGAAGTACATTCACGGTTGGTGTTCCTTTTGTACAGCTAAGGAAATCAGGTGGGATGAATACATAAAGGTGGGATTGCCTTGGTTTTGAACAAAGGGGGACAATATTTCTATTTAATCGGTAACACGTAGGAATGATTTTCTTCTCCTTCTGTCCAATTGGGTCCGATTCTCAAGAGACTTCCCAGAGAAGTCCTGCAGTTTTCTTGTCAAGGTTTTTCAAAAGTGGTTTGCCATTGCCCCTTTACCAAGGGCTGTGAGAAGGTGACTGGCTCAAGGCTACGCAGCTGGCTTTGTGTCTAAATTGGGACTTGAACCAGGGATAGGTTGCTTGGGGTTTGCAGGAGAGCCCCTAGCTAAGTTTCTGTGCAGTTCGGAGAACCCCCAAACCCATTCCTGGCTGGTTCTTCCTACCCCTCCCCTCCCAGGAGTCCCCAGAAGGCCCGTTTTGGATTCAGGTAACTGCAAGTTTTGCACATGGGCTCCGGGAGGGCAAAAAATGGGCTTTCTGAAAGTTCGGGAAGGCCAGAAATAGGCCCATTTTGGCTTCCACAGAGCCTCCGGAGCCCTCCCAGGGTGTGTCACCTGTTTCAAAATGGTTACATATAGCACAATCACAGATAATACAAGAAAATCTCTCAGAAGATGGATTCTACTCATTATGCTAGGCCAGGGGTGTCTAACTCAATTTTATTGAGGGCCGCATCAGGTTGTGTTTGACCTTGGTGGGCTGGGTGGGCATGGCCAACTCGACGTCACTCTTGTCGGGGATGCCTGTAGTGGCTCGAGCACTCTGCCAGTGAAAATGGGCTCCTGAGCTCCATTTTTGGCTGCCATGGCCTCCCGCAACCCTCTGCCAGTGAAAACGGAGCTCGGGAGAGAAGCACCGTGGGCCTTCGTTGTTTCCAGGATGGTCCCGCCGGCCACATCTAAGCACCCTGTGGACCGGATCCGGCCTACAGGCCTTGAGTTTGACACCCCTGCGCTAGGCCTACAGAGTATATGGCAGTAAGTACAGTAGCTCTTTAAGCAGCCCATACATAGTAGATCCACTTCCCTAATCTTCCCACTCAGTGGAATACATGGACACCATGAGCATGGTTTTCTGTTCTGGGGTCCACCTGATTGAGCATGTCAATTACAAGTGCTGCCATTTCATCCAGGCTCTTAGTTCCTAAGTACTGTAATGAATCCATACTTTAGAAGTGGTTCTCCTGCAGCCTGATGATTTTTAGGTGACGTGGTAATCACACTCTTTTCAACACTCAGGAGTATATTATGCTACAGGTTTTGGACCAGGGCAGATCTTGGAATGTGCTTTCTGAAGGATATATCTTTCGCCTATGGCTCCCCATATGTCTGTTGCCTATCCCCAAAGATGCATTGGGATGGATCATCAGTCATCTTAATTGTTTAATGGTGGCCATACCAGCCGTAATCTTTTTTGCATTTTATATTTTGTACCGACAATGCTATTAACACCTCCTGATAAAAAAAAATGACCCTCCTGATAGTCCATCTACCATCTGGACCTTCAATCTCTTGAGCTGATGACAGGTAATTTAGCATAAGTCTCCAGAGCTCCTAAGAAGCCACAGAAAGGGAAATGCATTAAAGTGAGACAGCTACTTTTATTATGATGTTTTGCTCCCAGAGAATATACTTCACTATTTCCTATGTAAGTGCCTACATTTTGAGTTTGTGTTGTTGTTCCATTCCAAAGGTTTAGCATTTCCCTTTCTGAAAATCTGTCTTACTACTATTTTGGGCTGGATTTTTTTTTCCCCTTTTCATTTCCAGATAGGCACTTGTTTCCCCTCACCATCTCACAAGGCAATTTCAGAAAGCTCTCAGTAATCTATTTCCCCTCCAACCACCGATTGTTCCTTCCTGAAGATTTGTCAGCATTAATGAACAAATCCATCGAGCCTTAGCAAAATTGGACCTGTGCCTGTTGACCATGAAATTTGGCTGTTGCCCTTAGCTCAATTATGCCGGCAAACCTCACCATTTACAGTTCCCCTCAAAGATAGAGTGATGATTTTCAGTCAGATCCATTTCCCCTGAAAGCCATTTTTAATTTTTTACTTTAACGAGGAAACGATTTTGCCCACATTCGTCCCTGCTTCAGTGAATCGTTCAGGCACACTGCTCTGCGCTCTCTAGGTGTTTGAAAGCTTTTTTGTGGGCGCAGAGCATGCTTCTTTCTGAAAACTTAGCAACTGTTGGAAGGTTACAATCTTCAAAGGAAATGTTTCCTGGCTTTGCAGCGGAGAATTTGCCTCCATATGGATCACAGAGGTTATTCACTTCACATGAATTAATGAAATGACCAACACTTTTTGTGTGTGTGCACTTCAGTTCAGGCTGAGCCAACATAAGTTGCATCTTTTCATGGGGTGTTACTTTGCAGGATACTATCTGGGCTAGTTACCGGAACCAGAGGTTTTTGTCTTCCAAGCTTTCGGACTCGTCCTGGAACCCAGGACAGGGAATTTCTCTCTAGCAGAGTGTGTGCTGTTCTGTGTGTGGTATTTATAGTGCTTGTTGTGTGCAGTTTTTTTTTATTGATTGGGGTGTGTTGATGGCTGGCTTTTAAGTCATTTTGCTGTCCTTTCACTTTGTCACTCCAATCAGCTACTAAAAAAATTGTGAAAATGAAGGAGATGGTTGAACAATGCCTTTAGTAAAGAATAAAGTTTTCAAATTCATATTTGAACCTGTACAGATGTCCCTGGTTTGTAACATAATTATGCTGCAAATATTTAGATATCCACTGGATGGCAGCAGTGAGTTGCTTTTTTTTCCTGCCATCTGTTGGTCACATTAATTTTTGCAGTCCAGATATGGGAGAATTATGCCCTGCTTCTTTTCTAGCATTCTAAAATGAGGAAATTATGTGAATGATGTAGCATCTCTGCTTCTTTATATATGGGAAGTATTCTTAACAGATTATATTTATTTGTACCTCACTTAACTTGAAATCTGCTTCAATCGTTAAAATTACCTCATAGTGAATCCTTGAGCATTTCCAATATTCATCATTCAAAAACTTTTTTTTTTCTTTAATATGTTTTCAGAAAAGGAATGCCTCTCAACGTGTGTTCAGAACATGCAACAATCCGATGATCTTTCTCCCTTAGAAATAGTTGAAATGTTTGCTGGGCTATCCTGTTTCCTCAAAGACTCCAGTGATGTGTCTCAAACGCTGCTAGATGATTTTAGGATATGGCAAGGATATAATTTTCTTTTTGATCTTTTACTCAGGTATGCAGATCATGTTTGTAAGTATGTCTTCTTGCTTAAATGAGGCACCTTACCAACGTATAAATATTGTAAATAAAATATTATTGTGAATGTGCAGGTGAAAAATTTAACCACCTTATTAGGCTATATTAAAATAGGACTATCCCACAGAGACTGTTTTAGCTTCTAGTACTAATTCAATAAGAAATATCTAATATAATGTTCGATCATCAATTTTTTTTTTGATGATAACTTTTTTTATTTTAACATTGCTTCTTTGGAACAGTGGTGAATATCTGTAGCTCAGGTGTAGGATGAAAATGGAGGTTTGTTCTCTGAGCTTGTGTGTTGGTTTCCAAACATTCCATTACCAGGCTAGTAACATCTTTAGTGGAGTTTAGGAGATGTCAGTGTTGATGTTCTTCAGAAGAACACCAACACTGACATTCCCTAAAGTCTCCTGAAGTTGTTATCTAGCCAGGTAATGAAATGTTTGCAAACCAACCACAAGCTCGGAGTACAAACCTCCACTTTTATTGTCCATGGAGATTCTCAGTCATCGAGGTCATGGTTGTCTCAAAGATACTTTTTCAAGAGGCAACTGGACTTTCTGGTTTTTCTTTGAAGATGTTTCACTTCTCATCCAAGTCCAGTTGCCTCTTGAAAAAGCACCTTTGGGACTCTACTTTCATTGCTTCTTTCTTATAAATAATACTGGGAGTAGTATCTTACTAACAGATCTAAGACTTGGATTGATAACATGATCCCTGATATGCAGTGTTTTCTTTTGAAAAAGGGATGTTTACATTAATCTTTCAAACACATTAACAAATGAAATTAATTGTCATTTACTTATCTCTTTTCTTATGAGAAAGAGATCAGGCTTTTTCTTTATCCCAAACCTTTTCTAACTTATTCTGCAAAATTTAATTTGTGTCTTTATTTTTGACATTAGTAGAAAAGATGGGTTATTCTTAGGCGTTTCATGAAGAAACATTTTCAGGGATATAAGCAAGGATGAAGTGGGGAAATTTATGAAAGGATTAGCGCACATTGTCTTGGACCTTCTAATCAAATTTAATTGTCCTTCAAGTGGTTTGGAATTTAGAAAGCCTAATTTATAAATCTAATCTGAAATAAAGCATTGATAATAATTCATAAACTAATCTAGATTTTTTTTTGAGCGGCGAACCAATTTCAGTTCCTTTCTTTGGTAAGCACAGTAATCAGTATGTATTTATTTGATTTATTTGAGAATACCACAATCCATCTGCTGATATCATGCTTTACTTTTTGTTTTTAAGTATTTACCTTATCAAATTCTGCAGTATGGTATGGCCCTAACATGATAAAGTAATTTGTTCAACCACTTCCCAATAATAAATAAACCAAATTGTTTCAGTATGATTATGGCAGAAGAAAAATATATAATGCTAAATATTAATAATTTTAATTTTAAATGCAGAGAAGGAGGAGGACCACAACTGCTTATTGTGTGTTTGTGCAGGCAGAATGGGAGCATTGCCAAAGCTCACTCACTAGTTTATGGTAGTCTTAGACTGGTGTGGCTGTAAATCTAAGCTCTCCAGATTCTCAACCCCTTTTTCTAGAATTTGGCTTATTCAGCAGTAGACTCTCAATCATGACTCAGTCACTGTAGATACTGTATTGCAGTCAAGAAGGAAACCGACTACAACCAATTTACTTATTACTGCAGTATACACCAAACCTTTGTATAATGTATACCGGTGATTCAGAATTTAGGCATTTTTGTCCTGCCTTTCTAAGTTAATGGATATTTGGACATTCTCTTCAAAGTCAAAAAAGGCATTGGGGATTTGTTGCTACAACAGTTTTAACTAGTCTGTGAAGATCCCTGAAATGCCAGCTTCATAACAGCCTGTGTCATATCTGAATTCCTCTTTTTTCCTATTTAACTTATCTTCTATATATATAAAAGCGAAATACCAGTCACACATCATCACAAAATCTCCAGAACAGTAAAGCCTACAAACTTGAAATTTGGCACATATGTTCCTCTTGGCTTCTAGATGCTCACTAAGAAAGGATTTTTTGAAATGACCACCAGAGCATTAGTATTTCCTATATTATTATTAAAATGCTTTGATGCTAAGGAGTTCTACTTCACCTCCCCACCTGAAAAGAAATCTCTTCCATATGCAAAACACAAGCAGAGGAGAGGAATTTCAATTTCAGTTTTAGTATCACAACAGCCAACCAGCTTTAGTAGAGAACAGTTGAGCTATGCCACTCCTTGCTGGCTCCTTCTTGCTCACACAGCAAATACTGTTTCAATTTCCATGTTTCAGTTTCCAAACAACCCTCAACTCTCTCACACACTGACAGGATGCTAGCCAGAATGGATGCAGAGGCACAATTCCCACCCCACCCCACCCCCCCACCCCGCTTATTTTCCTCCCCCAAAACTAAGCCCAAGCACATAGTTTTGTAGCGAAGCATGAGTATAGGGCTAGTCTATCTATATATTCCCCCAAGCAGTGATATATCTATATATTCCCCCAGTGATTTTTAAAAATGAGAAGTAGCTCCTTCCTTGTATTACAACACTGCCATCTAACAAGATGAGATAATTTTATGGTGTCAGTAGTAACTCCTCCATACTGACACAATACATTAATGAAAACCCCATGAAGTTAATTTGTATATTCTTGTGAATCAATCCCCCTGTTTGTCCAAAGAGGTTTCCCTTAATATGATTCCCTCTGATGATGATACAGGGGCAGTTTTCATTGCAGATGCTTGTGAAATAAATATGGATGTTTGCTGCATGCATTAGATGTGAAGTGTTTTGAATAGGAAGTTATGTTTAATTTAAAAGAGCACAGATGGATAGAAAGAGAAATTACTTAAAGGTAAATGGTATTATGGAATATGTAGTCCATATTACCTCTTTTCCTCCCATGTTCATTCAATTAACATTTTGTTTTGAAAATTTCATTTAGGAGGGCATGTAAGACCTAAATATAGCTTCTGAGACTGATCTTTGGTGTGGATCTGCTTAAAATTGCCTTAAGGTTTCTAAAAGATTCCTGTTATATTGAGTCCTGAACTTTTAACTTTGGAATGATGCTAAATAAAATTGTGTTTGAAATCAACTGGTTTTATTAAATAATGTATTACAACATTCCAGATTTCAATCCAGAGAAATCCATTGTTTTTTGTTCAGTAAATGTATGTGTTTTTCCTGAAGGTTAGAACAAGCAAAAGAGGCAGAATCCAAGGATGCTTTGAAGGATTTAGTTAACCTGATAACCTCATTAACAACATATGGTGTGAATGAATTAAAACCAGCTGGTGTTACTACGGGGGCACCTTTCTTACTGCCTGGATTTGCAGTTCCACAACCTGCAGGCAAAGGTACTGCTATTCTTGTCCACCTTATACACGCATAATAATATTAACAGTATATTGTCCTGGGTTTTTATAGTAATTCTATTAAAAAAAAAAACCTCTGTTCTAAGATTCTTAATCATGTGCTTAAATAGACCCCAGAATAATTTTATTTTTTATCCATGAAAATATTCCTTAGAATATGCTCCTTTGCTTCATAGACCAATCAATTACTTATAAAATCATTTTGAATGATTGCCTTCAGAGCTTTAAATTATTTAAATTAAAATATATTTGATGTATACAAGTAATCCTTGATCTTGGACCATTTGTCCAGCAACCAATTAAAGTTACAACAGCGCCAAACAAATGGTGATTATGACTGGGCCTCCTGGGAGTTCCAGCCATCCCCGGTATTCCTCACGGTTAATCGCAATCTGAGCGCTTGGCAACTCATCTGCACTTCCCACTGGTTGCCTAGCACCCTACAATCACATGATCAGCCTTTGCAACCTTTCCTGCCGGCTTCCCCAGAAAGTCATTGGGGAAGCTGGCAGGGAATGTCACAAGTTGCTGGGATAAGCCTCCCCCATCTCCTTTGCATTCACTCCATGCTGGCTACTCGTACACCCTTCCCAACCCTCAGCAAACCTCCTTCGCATCCATTTCAGATTCCTGTCCTGCCTGCGATGGAGAAGGCTAATAGTGAGTGTGTGTACACACACACACACACACACACACACACACACACACACACACTTTCTCGTAGGTCACAATGTGAGGAATATATGTATATATATTTACTTTCTCTCTCTCTTTTTCTCTTGTAGGTCACAACGTGAGGAATATCCAGGCCTTCTCAGTCCTACAGAATGCCTTTCTTAAAGCAAAAACCAGCTACCTTGCACAAATTATCCTTGATGCCATTTTGAATATATACATTGCAGATAACGCCAACTATTTCATCCTGGAATCCCAACATACTTTGTCTCAGTTTGCGGAGAAAATTTCAAAGCTTCCGGAAGTACAGACAAAATACTTTGAGATGCTTGAATTTGTCATCTTCAGCTTGAATTACATACCGTGCAAAGAACTGATCAGCGTCAGCATCCTCTTAAAATCCAGCACCTCCTATTCCTGTAGCATTATTGCCACAAGGACTCTGCTTAAGTTCACACGGCATGACTACATTTTTAAGGACGTTTTCAGGGAGGTGGGACTTCTGGAAGTGATGGTGAATCTCTTGCACAAGTATGCTGCTCTTTTGAAAGATCCTACACAGGCCCTGAATGATCAAGGTAGATCCCATCCCCACTTTTCCCCCTTTCTTTAAAATCTACTTTCAGTTGGATTTTTAAAAAAAAAAAAACTTCACTTTCTATTTTTTTATTTTTATTTTTGGTATTACTGGAGATGCAAACTATAAATACAGTGGAACCTTGGGTCATGAAATCGGGTAACGAACAAAAAACCCACCTGATTTTTGAATCAGGTCACAATTCAAAAATCAGGGAGTGAATAAAATTGTTGCGGAAAGATTCCCTTTCTGCGCCAATTTTCCCTTCGGCACCAGTTTTTCTGACTGCACTCATGCACAGTCAGTCATGTTCCCAGACACGACCAAATTGGGTCGCGATCAGAGTCTGGAAACGGATTACGGTTGCGCCCTGAGGCTCCACTGTATGTCAGGTGTGTCAAACTGGCAGCCTGTAGCCCACCCCAGCTTCACGAAGGGGAAAAATGTTGCAGTACGTCACGTGATGGCAACGTGACACTGCAAGTTTGACACCCGTGCTCTGTATGGGTATTTTGACATTCGTTCCAAGAGTAAAACTTCCCCCAAAAGAACATTTTGAACCTTCTTATCTACTGTCCAATGCTTATATGTGAAATACAGTATTTGATGCATTGTGGCCACACTTATAAATTGTGTACCCTTGTCCAATAGATGCGAAGCTGCAATAAATCAGTGCTCAAAAGCTGAGTGCTGCACCAATGCTCATTTTCGTAGCAATTTTACATAGGGTATCATATATTAAGTAGCAGTGACGTTCAGAATTAATGAGCATAATAAAGTAGCTTCTTAAAATTGTTTTTGTAGGCGACTCAAAAAATAACAGTTCAATTGAAGACCAAAAACAACTTGCTTTGCTGGTTATGGAGACCTTGACAGTATTACTCCAAGGATCAAACACAAATGCAGGTATTTGACAAATGACTGGTTGAAAGAAATGAGCAATAACCCTTAGGTGATGATGTTTGTTCTCGAAATGTATTTAACTCTATCCTGGACTGCATGTTTATGTGGGTTTTTTGAGACGTGAAACCAATTGTTTGAAGGAAAAAAAGAGTATTAGTAGCAGAAGACTTATTTCATTCGGCATTTTTAGTATTTGTTTTTATTTAGGACATAGACTAACATAAAACTAATACTATATTAACTTTATGCTACTCCATGATTGAAATAAAATAAATAGTAACTAGATTTGGTCAAGGTCAGTTGGTCATTTCCCTTAGCAATTGCCATTATTGCAAAAAGTAGATCATTGTTAACAAGATTATATTAAAGTATTTGAAAATGCATTCACTTTTTAAAAAGTAAAATGGAAAGCAATTTGTAATCCTTTCCCTATCATTTATAAGGCTTTTGAGATAAATGAAATTTTATGTATCTGGTTACAGTACCTTGTATAATGATGATAAAATTCTAAAATAGTTTAAAGGACATTAAAACAATAAAAACATCCACAAAATAAATAAGTATAAACAGCAGTCATGATGATTAATCAATTAATAGTAAAGCCAAGAAACAGAATCCTTCACATAACCCGAGCCCCAGACATAGCTTTACTTTAAAAAAAGCTTTAGCTTTTGAAAAAAATATTTAGGTATTTATTGTATACAAAGGACCATGAATTGTATGATATAGAATTGGAAAGGCCATTTAGATCATTCCACTCAGTCCAGAAATCCAAATCAAAACATGATTGTCTTAATTTCCTCTTGCACACCTTCACCATTTCTCTATATAGTTGTTCCTAGTTTTTTAATCCTCCTGTTAGGACATTTTTCCTGATGAGCTAGATATATCTTGTCATACCGACCATTCAACCTAAACCTACCTTCCTGTATTGTGGTGCAAGAGAAGAAGGACCATGGACCTTTTTCTATATTATATCCTTTCAAATATTTGAGGAATGGCACAATATTCTCCCTCTAATCTTTTCTAAAGCCATGCCCAAATCCTTAAAACTCTCTTCACAGGATAGCTTCTAGTTCCCTGATCATTCTTGAAGATGCTTCGGATTCTTGGGATGCTTCTTAAAGTAAATTGTCCAGAGCTGTATATAGTACTCAGGATGGGAGTCTTACCAATGCAGAATTAATTTGAATAAATGCTTCCTGTGATTTAAAAACCATTATTTCTGTTGATTCAAACTAAATTACATTTGCCCTTTTTTGGAACCACATTATATTTCTGACCCATATTTCTATTCCAAGATTTTCACCATAGGTATTATTAGAAGCTATGTGTAGCCTATTTTATTACTGTGGATTTAATTTTTGCTTGCCCATGTGAAGAATTTACAATTGTTTCATATGTCTTTCTGTTGTTTTCAGTTAAAACTATTTTTGTCTTCTAGAGGATTAGCTATTCTACCCAATTTTCTATTGTGTAGATTTAATGTGCATTCTCTCCATCTCTTTCTTCAAATATTAATAAAAATAAGAAAGAATAGAAGGCCTGAGATTGATTGTGTGTCATTTCCCCACACCAAATCTGTATCTCATTCCAGTTTGATTCCAGTTTGACATTATTGATCAACATTATTTGACTTTAGTTTTTGAGTGTTCTCTTGTCATGCCGACCAGACCAAACTTAGCTAATTTAATAATTGAATGTCATGGTGAATTTAATCAAATACTTTCTTAAAGTCAAGATATATTATCTGTGCAACATCCCCACAATCTGTTAAAGTTACCCATTCAGAAAAATGAGATAAGATTCATTTGACAAGATTTGTTTTTCCTATAGACCCATAAGTGGAAAATAACTGATTAAAAAAATACGTAGTTTTTGCCACAATTGCAGTCTCTTTGAATTTTTATAACCTTTGGCAAAGCTGCTGTTCCTATTTTAGAATGCTTACTGGCATTTTTGAGTTGGCAGCCATTATAGATCATTATGCAGCATGGTGCAGTGGCCTAGAGGTGGAGGTCTCGCCTCACAATCAGGCTGTGAGTTCGATCCTATGTAGAGGCAGATATTTCTCTTTCTGGGCACAATGAGAATATATCTGCCGAAGAAAACTCCACATTGGCAACAGGAAGGGCATCCGGCCATTAAACGCTCTGCTAGCTCCATTCAGTTGGCCAGACTCGACCCCACAAGGGTTCGTTAAATGATGATGATGATGATGATGATAGATCATTATGGCAGTTAATAGTCCAGTCTTTGAATTTCTAGTGGTATTATTGCAACTATTCCTTTTCACTTGTTTACATTGTAGGCATCTTCAGGGAGTTTGGTGGAGCAAGGTGTGTACATAACATCGTAAAATATCCACAGTGTAGGCAGCAAGCACTGATGATAATCCAGCAGCTGGTGTTGTCACCAAGCGGTGATGATGACATGGGGACTCTCTTAGGTTTGATGCACTCCGCTCCCCCCACAGAATTGCAGCTGAAGACTGATATATTAAGAGTACGTACGCAATTCTTATTTTGTTTCCCTACTGTTTCATAAAATGAATCTTTCCATCCCAATAATCAGATATAATTGTTCTGAAAATTAGTTGCAAGGTTTAAAATTGTTATATCAAAATGTGTGCGTGCTCTGAAAGTTTTCACTTAATGACCCAAATAACAAATGTAAACTGAAGAAATAAAATGCTTAGACATTCGTGAAGTACACAAGACCAAGTTTGCACAATAAATCTGAGAAAGATAGTTGAGTTGAATTTAATGAATGTCCTAGAACTAGCACAGAAGACTTATTTCATTATTCAAGTGACTTAAAAAGAGTAGTTGCAGGAATTGGGTATGTTTAATGAAAAGAAGGACTAGGGGAGACATGATAGCAGTGTTCCAATATCTCAGGGGCTGCCACAAAGAAGAGGGAGTCAGGCTATTCTCCAAAGCACCTGAGGGCAGGACAAGAAGCAATGGGTGGAAATTCATCAAGGACAGAAGCAACTTAGAACTAAGGAGAAATTTCCTGACAGAACAGTGAATCAGTGGAACAACTTGCCTCCAGAAGTTGTAAATGCTCCAAATCTGGAAGTTTTTAAGAAGAGGTTGGACAACCATTTGTCTGAAATGCTATAGTGTTTCCTGCCTGAACAGGGGGTTTGACTAGAAGACCTCCAAGATCCCTTCCAACTCTGATACTTTGTTATTCCTAATTAGAATATATATTTTAACGTAGTGTAGAAATGACTAAGGGACAGTATTGGCCAGGATTGGCTTTTGTAAATTTGGAAACTCTGGTTGTTCAGTTCCTTGGATGACTTTGACCATTTTTCCAAGGTTGGTAAAATGAGGAGCCTGATTTCGCTAAATGTCTGTAGAGATTGTCAGTCCTCCAAGTCTTGGTTGTCCCAAAGGTGCTTTTTTTTTCAAGAGGCAATTGGACTTTCTGGTTTTTCTTTGAAGACGTTTCGCTTCTCATCCAAGAAGCTTCTTCAGCTTCAGAGCTGGAAAAGCTTCTCGGATGAGAAAAACCAGTTGACTCTTGACAAAAAGCACCTTTGGGGGAACCCAGGTTGTTGGGGACAATATGCTTTTATGGTCAGAAAGTGCCATAGTAAAGCACTACGTAGTGGTAGATAAGTCAAAGTGCTATTGCTTTTAATCTGTCAGTGCTGAGATGCATCTAACAAATGCTGAAGAATCCCTGTGCTGTCTTATTCATACTGTCATATTTTAAACATCCACGTAGGCCTTGCTTTCGGTATTAAAGGAGAGCCATCGGACGAGAACAGTTTTCCGGAAAGTTGGTGGATTTGTATATATTACCTCGTTGTTGGTTGCCATGGAGCGGTCCTTATGCTCTCCCCCCAAAAACGGCTGGGAGAAAGTGAACCAGAATCAAGTCTTCGAACTTCTCCACACGGTGCTGTGTACCTTGACAGCGGCCATGCGTTATGAGCCAGCCAACTCTCACTTCTTCAGAACGGAGATCCAGTATGAAAAGCTGGCGGATGCCGTAAGGTTGCTTGGCTGCTTCTCAGACTCCAGAAAACTAAGTCCCGTGAATGTCTTCCCTTCCAATACCCAGCCATTTCAAAAACTATTGGAAGATGACCTGCTCTCCATGGATACCGTCTCGCCCACTCTAAAGCACTGCAGCAAGCTCTTCATTTACCTCTACAAAGTCACCACAGATTCTTTCGACAGGTATGTTGTCTGCAAGAAAAAACGCCTTGCTCAGAAAGCACCAGTTCAACCCTGAGCCACAAATATTTTCTTCTATTGGTTGTCTGTGTTTTGGAAGATTGAAATCCGTGTCACGTATACAATATTAGTCTGGAGAAGGCTAACTTAGTGCAGGGCTCACTCTTTAAGATGGATGAAGGCCAACCATTTTCTTTATGTCCCAGCTCTTTACTGCCAATGATTTATGTGTCTGTAATTTCATTTTATAACTACATTGCATGCCCAATTTACAGCAGGGAATTGTATTGGAGAAAGAATTTGGGTTTTTTTGTAGTAATGATTGCCTGTGTTATCTGAATGTTGGCAAAGAAGGATAGGGGCTTTTGTAGAATAATAGTTGTGGAGCGGAAAATCGTTTTGCTGAAATAATACCTTTGTGTTTGAAAGTTTAGAAGTGCCATCATCACCTATAGAAACATCATTTATTCATAACTTTGGATTCATCCCAAAAACGTACCCTCTTTTAAACCTTTGTTTATTCTTTATTTGGAATAAAACAAGCAAACAAACCAACTTTCAAAGCTTTTAAACCTTGGTTTAAAAGAGGGTTTGTTTTATTCTGTTTTTTAAAATCACACATCAACATTTAAAAGCAGGGCCAAATTCGCACTGTAAATAATATATGAGTTTATGAAGGTTTTTGGAATTAAAATAATGCTTGTTGGAACATGTCTTATTTTTACAGTGGTTAAGAGCATTTGAAGTATTTGATTTCTGGAAATACTGGTATTCCTTACAATAGAAATTGATACATTAAAATATACATTATTGTACTGTAGACTGTTGCCTACACTTTTTTTATTGCTTTCCTGTTGATGGAAAAAAACTGAGCTGTATTAGTAGGATTTTGAATCTTGATGCTATTTGTGCAGCATATATTGTGATATTAACACAAAGACTCAGACGTAGAGATAAAGGCACTGAATATTTAATGTCTAGTCATAACAACATTTAAGTATTCCTTTAATTGTAAGCATATGTATAAATAAGTTATCTTTCACTGATGTTAGTTTTTTTTTTTTAAATGTCATACACTATATATTTAAAGCATTTTCAGATTTCTCAATAGTTGGTATTCTCTGATGCTGAAATTTAAGAAATCTGAGCTAAAATTGTTGCATAAGTATTTCTCTCTCTTTTTCCTTTCCTCTTATTGTTTCCTCTTCCTACTTGAGCAACTTTTTTTGAAAACTTCCTACTGTATTATAGAGTGCTGTATTAGTCCTAATGATGAAATTAATAGCGTCTGCTTACATTACGTGTTCTAAAATGTGATCCTCTATTATCTTTTTCCCAAATCCTAAACAATCCACATTGTCACAACGGGAAGAAGCCATTGTTAACAGCTCAGTCTAGCACTTCCGCCTTAATGCATGAATCATGGAATTTTGCTTAGTCTATATATGTCTTTGAAAGCTTCCTATGTTTCTGTTTTCGTTTGTTTGAATGTTTTGTCATCTTTTCGAGTTCCTCCTGAAAAATCCATTTCTCGTGGTGAAACTGTAAAACTAACAAAGCTTCCAGCATCCTGTTCTCTCTTCTAACTTCTCTCTGTCCCCTCTGTGTCTGTTTTGTCTGTAGTCGTGCTGAGCAGATTCCTCCTTGCCTGACCAATGAGTCTTCTCTCCCCTCTCCTTGGGGCACACCAGCTTTGACCAGGAAAAGGTACCGATCCTTTTTAAACAGAAGTTGTAGCTAAAAAAAGGTTGGGTTCTTACCTTCCCCAAACTGAGACCCTGTCTTTCTGTGTTCTTCGATCGTTGTTGTTGTTTTAAAAAAAACTTTCTCTGGAGTAAGGCTCTTTTATTGAGTCCATAAAACAACCACTAATATATCATTAACTTCTGTAAGTGTGCTTCTTGCTTTTCCCCCCCCTGTTATATGTAATTAATTTGTCTGCACTTAATTTAACTGAAAGATTTATCAGTGGGGGGAGGGAGGAAAAGAAAGAAGGAAAAGAAAGAAAAAGAAGGAAGGAAGGAAAAGAAACAGGAAGGAAGGAAAAGAAATAAAGAAGGAAGAAAAAGGAAGGAAAAGAAAGGAAGGAAGGAAGATTGGTTGAACATTCAGATTATATTTGATTGGTTAGAAATTAAATTAAATCAGTAGGTCAAGTAAGCTGCTCCTAACTACAGGTAGTCTTTGACTTACAACCATTATTTACCAACAGATTGAAGTTTTAACAGCCTTAGAAAAAGTGACATATTACCTGTCCTTGAAGTTACAACCATCATTTGTTGTTGTTGTTAGTTGCGATGTTGTGTCCACCCATCGCGACCCCATGGACAACGTTCCTCCAGGCCTTCCTGTCCTCTACCATCTTCTGGAGTCCATTTAAGCTCACGCCTACTGCTTCAATGACTCCATCCAGCCACCTCATTCTCTGTCATCCTGTTCTTCTTTTGCCCTCAATCTTTCACCTTTACAATCATCATAGCACCTATGTAATTCCATTTGGGTGGTTAGCAACAGGTTTGCATTTATTTACAAATGGACACAGTATCTTGCAGTCATGGGGCTGTGATTTGTGATCTTCCCAGATGACAAGCAAAGTCAATTGGGGAATCCAGATTTGCTTAACATCCACCTGAGTCATGTATGCAGTAGTACAGGCTGCTTCTGCTGACTGCCAGCTGCCAGCAGTTCAGCAGTTCGAGTCTCACTGGCTCAAGGTTAACTTAGCCTCCCATCCTCCCCAGGTCGGTAAAATGAGGACCCAGATTGTTGAGGGCAATAGGCGATTCTCTAAACTGCTTAGAGAGGCTATAAAGCACTGTGAAATGGTACATAGTCTAACTGCTATTGCTATTATTTATGTAATGACTGTGGTAATATGGTCACGGAATCAGGCCTGATGATTCACTGAACAACCATTTCACTTAGAGACTGAAATTTTAACCCCAATTGTGGCTGTAAGTCAAGGACAACCTGTAGGTTTATTTCTTTATTTCAGTGGATCTATGCTACCTATACTGACGCCTGGTCCAGACTATTAAGATTATTGAATTTTCCCTAACTCTTCTTAAGAGTTTGAATGGAATTATTGCTTAAATTTCATGAGATTTGGAAATCTTATGAAATGTCACCTATTGTTCATTCATTTTTCTTGCATCTGTTCCATCTGTTGCACAATGGTACCAGTGTAATGAAAAGGTTGCAAGTGATACTTTAGGATTAGCTAAAAAGGAAATGTTTTTATATAAAAGAAAAAGTTAGCCTCCGCTGTCAATTTTGATTGTGCAATTTTATACAGGTAATCCAAGATTGGCAAATTGTATTTAAAAAAAATATTTTTTTGCAGTTGAACTTAAAAGTTCATTTATTCCTTTGGATATCACTATCCTTTAAGTGCAAAATACAATTTCTCAAATCCCAATTCTTAAAATGTTAAACAAAAAGTAGAGAATGGGACATAATGAAGCTGATAAATTCTGTCTGAAATTGTTTTATATGATCTTCTATACATTCTACTTTCCTACTACTGATAGGTTCAGTCTGGAAAAAATATGAGCCCCGAGGCCCTATTTATATGTCAGGAGTGTTATGAATAGTTTGGATCAATGTGTTTCTGGTTAGAAAAATAGATGAACTCAAAGATTAATACTCATAATAGCTACATAATAGTTGAATGGGCATAAATTGTTGCCTATTATTTCCTATTTCCTGCATTCTTGTTCTATAATATCAGCATTCAATTCCAGACCAGATGTCAGCGTTCCAATAAAAATCCCCCATAACCATTCCGCACTCAGAAACAAAGTCCATCCAAGAATTTATTAGAGAAGTCATATTGGCATATCTGGGAAAACCCGAATCTGAGAGTTCTGGGATTTTCCTTCCCCAAGAGAAATTCAAAGATCCATCCCCTGCACCCACCAGTCCATCACATGGCCCAATCAAACGTCGTCCCAACTGGAGACATTCCTCCAGACACTCCTGTCCAGGTGCAGGGTACCTTGTCCTTGACTTTTAAGAGAGAATGTTGTTGAGTCTACTCTCCTACTCACTAAGAAACCCCCCCTCCCAAATTCCCAGGCAATAACAAAGCCTTCAAGTAAGATATGGCTTCCAAGGCTGATACCAGGTTTAAGTTAGATCACCTGTTACATAAAACCTGACATTAATTGGGATTGTCTTCCGTTCAGACCTGTAGGGAGTCATAAATATTTAGGTGAAAAACACGTACACAAACCTGTTGTGATTTAAATAGCAGATACCTTAAATGAGTGTATCTTAAGCCAGTCTATGACCCTGTGAAACAGTAAATGATGCCCCTCTCTCAAATTTACAACTAAGGCTTGAGCTTTCTAATGTTGGGATGAGGAAGGAATTAGAAATATAACACTTGTCAATCATTAATCTTTAATCTCTTTGGCTCAGGACTTCTGAAACTGCAGACTGTAGAACTGTAAAGACAAAATGAGGGGAAAACTCTCGTGCAGCCCACAATGAAATCGAGTTGGACGCCCCTGTACTAGACCAAGCTGGAAAATTTTTCCACAAGCCCTTAGTGAATTATTTAAATAAATGAATAAAAAGTCTCCAGATGTTACCAGTTATTTTTAAAAAGTGAGCTAAAGAAGTAGAGATAGTATTACTTTGAACGTTGAGTGTACAGTAATACCCTTAATGAAACGTATTATTTATCATTTTATTTGTTAAATTTATTTGCTGCCTGTGGGGCTACTCTAGGTAGCTTACGATAATTTTAAAAAAAGGGGGGCGGGGGGAGAATGAAAGCAAAAAATAAGCAGAAGAGGAGTAAAATAACAGAACCCATAAAACAAACAGTGAAAAAGGAACACAACTTGAAAATACCACCAGTATTGTATGATAACCAAAAAGAGCAGAGAATTGCAGGAAGAGGGGAGTCTGCCATGAATCCAGCAGCGAGCTCCAGTGTGGAACTCCCTCCTTTTCATAAATATTTCTATATGTTTTGGCAACCCACTGGCTTGTATTGTTTAGTTCTATTTTCAGTGCACTAAACTCAACATGTGACCAGACAGGGTAACAGACTTGACCACAGAAATTAGAGAAACCCAGAAAATACTACTTAAACTCTTGCTTTTAACCTAATGGCTGAAAGAGTAGATGCAGTGATAGTCAATGCTTACTGCTACTTGCCACTAAGAGGACACGGATAATCTGTTGGCTAGATTTTTCTCCACCTGCTTATTCCAGATAAGTAGATAAGCCAACAGTGATATGGAGGGAGAGATAAGGTGCCTCAGTCTCCCTTCACTACGAAATCCCACAGAGGAATTTCATCTTGCAGAAGATGAGTTCCTCCATCGAGTTACCATGTAGATGTGAGTAATACAATGTCACTGTGTCATTTACCCTAGTAACTCCCATGTTCTTGAGGGTGTTATTTGCTGGACAAGGGATGCACTGCCAGTCAACATAAAGCATTGATCTTAAACGTAAGATGTAGATTGCCCTTAGTCAGCAGGATGTGGATGTACACCACAGAGCAAACTGATTGTATTATATTCATCCAGAACATCGAACAGCCCACAGACCTACTTGCTTCCTTTTGTCTCTGGTTGTTACTGGCCATTTGTGGATATTTTTCCCCTAATTGTCTTTGAACCTTGGTCTTTAAGAGCCCTGGTGGCGCAGTGGTTAGAATACAGAACTGCAGGCTATTTCTGCTGACTGCTGGCTGCCAACAGTTCAGGAGTTTGATTCTCATTGGCTTAAGGTTGACTCAGCTTTCCATCCTTCTGAAGTTGATAAAATGAGGACCCAGATTGTTGGGGGCAATAGGCTGACTCTGTAAAAACTGCTTAAAGAGGGTTGGTTGTAAAGCAGTGTGAAGCGATATATAAGTCTAAGTGCTATTGCAATCAATCAATCTTTCTTTCCTTCCTTCCTTCCTTCCTTCCTTCCTTCCTTCCTTCCTTCCTTC